TTGTACAATAATACACAAACGATGTAAAAATCAAAACCCATTAATTATATTTTTCGACATCCTTTTCGCCCATAAAAAACCATACGCGTCATATTTCCATCAATATTATCATCAACGATCGTCGTTGAAGAGGAGTTATGATTTTCCGATGATTTGAAAATTTGATTAGCGTCGAATTTTGTACTATCTTTTTCCTCATTATAAAAATCTTCACTATCGATATTTTCACATTCTATAAGCTTTTTTAAGTACTTTTGATCTTTCTCAGCTTCCTGATAAAATTCTACCACGGTAGTTTTAATCAAATTTTTAAGTATTTTAAGAATAAAATGTGGAATCAAGGCAAATGACACGGTCAACAATACTACCGACCAAAAGGTAACTTTATTCCCAACTCTTTGAAACACACCCCTAATTTCGTACATGGTAGAATTGTTATTAGTTGGATATGCATAAGAATACATAATTTGAAATGCAAACCATCCACCTATCATTAAAAATGAAGTAACATGTGAAAAACCGGTCCAATTATGAGATTGTAAATATGAAATGTGAAGTGTTACTATAAATACAACACATGTATAAATAATCATTCCTAATTCAAATATTTGAGGTGATCCACCGATTCTAATTTCATAATCCCGGAAATATCCATGAAATAATATTGGTACAAATACTATAGTTATAGCGTGACATATTGCTCCAATCATCCATGAAAAAAATATTTTAATGTTAAATTCTTTATTTTCTTGTCCAATTTTATAAAGACTTGGAATTGCAATTAATGTATCGTAATTCAAATCTTTTTCAAATATTCCAATAACCATTACGGGTAATGATGTAAATAAAGTGTTATATGAGGCAAGTGACCATTGTTCATATAAACTAGTTCCAGAAAATGCTGTAAATAATTGAAATAACCCTTGCGTCAAATAAAAGCACATACATTTATATAGTGTTCCTAATGCAAATTTTGATACTCTAACGTAAGACCATCGACCATGAACGAACAAAAGATTTTGTAAGAATCGGAATTGTGAAATCGAATAATCACTTGACCTGGCAGCTTGTAAACCTTCTCGACCAGTTATTCCTATTCCCACATGCGCTTCTTGTATCATTGCAATATCATTTGCTCCATCTCCAATTGCTAATGTTACAACCGAATTTTTTAATTTTTCTCTGATACTACGAACTAAGAGAGCTTTTTGTGATGGACTCGCTCGACAACATATTACCGCGTCACATTTGATACTCAAATCTAAAAATGATTCCATAATTACGATATCTTGTTCGATTTTCATTAATGCATCGCCATCTATAACTATTACCATATGAGCTGTTTTATCCTTTAATATATTTGCAATTGTTATAAGGTCAGTATTCTTTTCAATATTTATTATCATTGAATGATCTTTTACAATTGAACATGAATGTCCAATATTTATAGCAGTTTCACGTTTATCACCAGTTAACATCCAAACTTTAATTCCAGCCAAACGTAATTTTTTTATAGTTTCTGGTACACCACGTTGTAATTTATCTTCAATAGCAGTTGCACCCGTAAGTTCCAAATCACGTTCTATTAATTCAGAAATTTCTTCAAGTTTTTCCCGTTTATTTCTCAACAAATTTGATGCTTCTTGAAATTGTTTATTCCATGGTATATACTCTTCCTCTTCAATATAACGGTGTGCATATAATAAAGTTCGAAGACCTTCAATTGCGAATTCATGGAGATGTCGAATTGTCTGTTGACATATCCAATTGTCATCAAATTCATATGTTCTTATCGATGAAGGAGAATCAGTTTTATCTTCATTTAATATACGTATCATATCAAGATTAGTATTAATACGTAATTTTTGTTTTTGATTATCAGACTTTGAATCATTATTCTCCATGTGATTATCATTATTTCCAGAGTCAATATCAACCTTTTGGTCTATCGCATCTTTCTCATTAGCAACTCGTAGTCGATCCAAAATAACAGAATCAGCACCTTTACAGAACAAACATATTCTACCATCGGGAAGCCTACATATTACAGACATTCTCTTGCGTTTACTTGAAAATTCTAATATATTTAATATTTGAAAATCTTGATTTAAAACAATGTTTTCATCAGGAATATTAGGCATAAGATCATTTATCCTAAGTGAAACTTTTCCCCTAGAACGATCCGTGATGGTATAACCCAAATCTTTAGCAGTATTAGCAATAGCAAATTCGTCAGGTGAAGAAGCCTGATAAATTATATCACCAGTTTCTTTGTCAACTTCTGGCACACACGTGTGACATAGGGACATGGCAAGCAAGAAAAATTTAGCACGTTGTTCGAAAGGAGTATTTGGTAAATAATGTATTAAAGTCAATAAATCAAGTGTGCTCATAATTGATTGACTTCCTAATACTTTCTTAGATTTCATTGAATACGACGACGGAGATGTAGGACTTGGTGCAATCATAGAAAAATTGACGCTTGTTACAGAATTTTGACGAGTTACTGAAGCCGTTGGTATTATATCATCAGTTTTATCATTAAGATCATCGGTATTATTCTTTCGTTGTTTTGAAGATAAAATCGAAGCTATTGTAAGCTTTTTTGATTATTTTCAACACCATGATACCGATATCTTTATATGTTACTATGGAAGTTATTAAGCTTGCTCAAATATATTTTATAAATAATGATACACGGATGTACAATGAAGAAACTGATACTCCAGCTGAATCTCGAACTTCTACTATTAATGAAGATTTAGGTCAGGTTAATTATGTGTTCACCGATAAGACAGGCACTTTGACTGAAAATATTATGTTATTCAGACAAATGAGTGTTTGTGGTCAAAAATTTTTACATGATAAAGATGGTAATAGAATCGATACTGATGAATTGTTAAAAATGTTATCTATGTCTTCATCAAGATCCAAAAAAAAGCTTACAATAGCTTCGATTTTATCTTCAAAACAACGAAAGAATAATACCGATGATCTTAATGATAAAACTGATGATATAATACCAACGGCTTCAGTAACTCGTCAAAATTCTGTAACAAGCGTCAATTTTTCTATGATTGCACCAAGTCCTACATCTCCGTCGTCGTATTCAATGAAATCTAAGAAAGTATTAGGAAGTCAATCAATTATGAGCACACTTGATTTATTGACTTTAATACATTATTTACCAAATACTCCTTTCGAACAACGTGCTAAATTTTTCTTGCTTGCCATGTCCCTATGTCACACGTGTGTGCCAGAAGTTGACAAAGAAACTGGTGATATAATTTATCAGGCTTCTTCACCTGACGAATTTGCTATTGCTAATACTGCTAAAGATTTGGGTTATACCATCACGGATCGTTCTAGGGGAAAAGTTTCACTTAGGATAAATGATCTTATGCCTAATATTCCTGATGAAAACATTGTTTTAAATCAAGATTTTCAAATATTAAATATATTAGAATTTTCAAGTAAACGCAAGAGAATGTCTGTAATATGTAGGCTTCCCGATGGTAGAATATGTTTGTTCTGTAAAGGTGCTGATTCTGTTATTTTGGATCGACTACGAGTTGCTAATGAGAAAGATGCGATAGACCAAAAGGTTGATATTGACTCTGGAAATAATGATAATCACATGGAGAATAATGATTCAAAGTCTGATAATCAAAAACAAAAATTACGTATTAATACTAATCTTGATATGATACGTATATTAAATGAAGATAAAACTGATTCTCCTTCATCGATAAGAACATATGAATTTGATGACAATTGGATATGTCAACAGACAATTCGACATCTCCATGAATTCGCAATTGAAGGTCTTCGAACTTTATTATATGCACACCGTTATATTGAAGAGGAAGAGTATATACCATGGAATAAACAATTTCAAGAAGCATCAAATTTGTTGAGAAATAAACGGGAAAAACTTGAAGAAATTTCTGAATTAATAGAACGTGATTTGGAACTTACGGGTGCAACTGCTATTGAAGATAAATTACAACGTGGTGTACCAGAAACTATAAAAAAATTACGTTTGGCTGGAATTAAAGTTTGGATGTTAACTGGTGATAAACGTGAAACTGCTATAAATATTGGACATTCATGTTCAATTGTAAAAGATCATTCAATGATAATAAATATTGAAAAGAATACTGACCTTATAACAATTGCAAATATATTAAAGGATAAAACAGCTCATATGGTAATAGTTATAGATGGCGATGCATTAATGAAAATCGAACAAGATATCGTAATTATGGAATCATTTTTAGATTTGAGTATCAAATGTGACGCGGTAATATGTTGTCGAGCGAGTCCATCACAAAAAGCTCTCTTAGTTCGTAGTATCAGAGAAAAATTAAAAAATTCGGTTGTAACATTAGCAATTGGAGATGGAGCAAATGATATTGCAATGATACAAGAAGCGCATGTGGGAATAGGAATAACTGGTCGAGAAGGTTTACAAGCTGCCAGGTCAAGTGATTATTCGATTTCACAATTCCGATTCTTACAAAATCTTTTGTTCGTTCATGGTCGATGGTCTTACGTTAGAGTATCAAAATTTGCATTAGGAACACTATATAAATGTATGTGCTTTTATTTGACGCAAGGGTTATTTCAATTATTTACAGCATTTTCTGGAACTAGTTTATATGAACAATGGTCACTTGCCTCATATAACACTTTATTTACATCATTACCCGTAATGGTTATTGGAATATTTGAAAAAGATTTGAATTACGATACATTAATTGCAATTCCAAGTCTTTATAAAATTGGACAAGAAAATAAAGAATTTAACATTAAAATATTTTTTTCATGGATGATTGGAGCAATATGTCACGCTATAACTATAGTATTTGTACCAATATTATTTCATGGATATTTCCGGGATTATGAAATTAGAATCGGTGGATCACCTCAAATATTTGAATTAGGAATGATTATTTATACATGTGTTGTATTTATAGTAACACTTCACATTTCATATTTACAATCTCATAATTGGACCGGTTTTTCACATGTTACTTCATTTTTAATGATAGGTGGATGGTTTGCATTTCAAATTATGTATTCTTATGCATATCCAACTAATAACAATTCTACCATGTACGAAATTAGGGGTGTGTTTCAAAGAGTTGGGAATAAAGTTACCTTTTGGTCGGTAGTATTGTTGACCGTGTCATTTGCCTTGATTCCACATTTTATTCTTAAAATACTTAAAAATTTGATTAAAACTACCGTGGTAGAATTTTATCAGGAAGCTGAGAAAGATCAAAAGTACTTAAAAAAGCTTATAGAATGTGAAAATATCGATAGTGAAGATTTTTATAATGAGGAAAAAGATAGTACAAAATTCGACGCTAATCAAATTTTCAAATCATCGGAAAATCATAACTCCTCTTCAACGACGATCGTTGATGATAATATTGATGGAAATATGACGCGTATGGTTTTTTATGGGCGAAAAGGATGTCGAAAAATATAATTAATGGGTTTTGATTTTTACATCGTTTGTGTATTATTGTACAA